TGAGTTTGGCGTCTTCGGGCCTTCTGAGGACCTCCAGGGGGCCTCGTGTGCTGTCTTGGGGGCCTCTTGGGAAACTCTTGGGCCGTCTTGGAGGCATCTTGGGCCGACTTGGAGGCATCTTGGACCCTCCTGGGCAGTCGCGGAGGCCATCTTGGGCGAACTTGGAAACCACCTCGGGCCATCTGAGCCGTCTTGGAGGCCATCGAGGGCCATCTTGGAGCGGGCAAGGCATCGACCTGCGGATTTTTTGTGGTCGTTGAGCTCGTCTCCGGGCTTTGTGCGGCTTTGTGCGCTCTTCCGGGTGGCCGGCGGGCTGAGCCGGAACCCCAGCGGAGAGTTCTTTTGGAAAAAAGAACTAAAACCAAAACCGGGCACCCCTGTGGCAAGCCAACAGGAGGCGGCAGATCAAAGACGCCTACGGCGAATCACCCCCGCCCCCTGCCTTTGTGGAAGCGCCTATGTGGCCGAACGCTGAGGCCAGACCTGCCAAGCTATCGGACCATGTGTTCCCCGCATCGGTTTGGAAAGCCTTCGGGGAACACGTGGGCATCTTGAAGGTTATCTTGGCCGCCTGGAGGCTATTTTGACCTTTTCGGGCCTTCTTGGAGGACGTCTTGGAGGGCTCGTGGGCCGTCTTGGAGGCCATCTGGAGCGTCTTGGAGGCCTCTTCGGCCGTCTTGGGGGCCTCTTGGGGCCGTCCTGGGCGCCTCTTGGGCCGTTCTCGGGCCATCTTGGAGGCCTCTGGGGCGATCCTTGGACGATCTTTGGGGGCTCTTGGGCCGTATCGGGCCGTCGGAAGGCCGAAACTAAGCAAATGTCAAAATCATTTAAAAGCCTACGGAAAATAACTCTTATTGGCCTTTTCTGGCCTTCCTGGAGGCCCTCTTGGAGGCGCTGCAAGCCACCTTCGGCCATCTTGGTGGGCTCCTGGCCCGTCTGACGCGGTCGGAAGCCGTTTGGGGGGCCTCTCTGGGCCGACTTGGGGCCCTCTTGGGGTGCTCCAGGGCCGTCTTAGAGGCCATCTTGGGCGTCTTGGAGGCCTCTTGGGCCGTCTTGGGGCCCTCTTGGGGCCGTCTTGGAGGCTTCTTGGGCCGTCAGAGGGCCATCTTGGAGGCCTCTTGGGCGATCTTGGGGCGTCTTGGGGGTCTCTTGGGCCGTCTGGGGCCGTCGGAAAGCCGAAAAGGTGCAAATGCACAAATCCAAGGAAATCAATGATTTTCGCCTCTTCGCGCCTTCCTGGAGGACCTCTTGGAGGCCTCTTGGGCCGTCTTGGAGGCCTCTTGGGCCGTCTTGTGCCATCTTCAGGCTATCTTAGGCCGTCTAGGGTACATCTTGGGCCGTCTTGGAGGCATCTTGAAGCCATCTGAGCCGTCTTGGAGGCCATCTTGGCCGTCTTGGAGGCATCTTGACCGTCTTGGAGGCCATCTTGGGGCCGTCTGGGGCAGGAACACCGTTTGCAACCAGGTCTTCTGGGTGGCCGGCGGGGCGCGCCGGAGCCCCAGGGGGAGTTCTTTTGGAAAAAGAGCCAAGACCAAAACCGAGAGGGCCTACCACGCCAGGCACCCCTGCGATGAATCGACAGGGGGCGACGGATCTAGTGGCATTCGGCACATCGCGCCACCGTGCCTGAGTTCTGGGTCAGAGTCGTTATGGCAACTTCTGGGGATTTCTTCGGACAGCTCTCGGCGGCCTCTGGGGGGAAGGTTTGACGCCTCTTGGGAGCCTCTTGGGGGCTTCTTTGGGTCCTCCTAGGGGGCACTTCGGGAATTATTGGGGACATCTTGGGGACCTCTTGGGGCCTCCTGAGGGGCCTCTAAGACAGGAGAGCTGGAAGTGTCGGTTCGTGTACCTGGAAATGTCGGTTCGTGTTTTCCCTCTGGATTCCTCTTGGGGCGCTCTTGAGGCCCGCTTGAGCCGTCTTGGAGACCTCTTGGGCCGTCGTGGGACCCTGTTAGGCCTTCTCGGCACTTTCTTGGTTGCCTCTTGGCCTTTCTTGGGGCTTCTTGGGCCGTCCTAGAGCACAGAGAACCCGAAAAGGCGCAAACGCCCAAATCCTTCAAGAAAACTAAGGAATGTCATGGAGTGGTTACTTCTTGCTCTCTCTTGGAAGTGCTCTTCTGGAGGCCTCCTGGGGCGTCTTGGAGGCCCCCCGTGCCGCCTGGAGGCCACCTCTGGCGTCTTGGAGCGGTCCTCCGACGAGCCGGAGCCCTCTCGGGACACACCGGAGGGTTCGGGAGGGACCGTCCTGGGCGGGCACAGCGCCTGCAGCAGAGGGCCAGCAGGAAGCACGCACCCGGACGCACAGGGGACACCCAGAAGGCCTCCGGGACGGCCCTGAGCTCCAGGTCTCCAGGCCCTGGCGAAGCTACCGGAGCATCGTCTTTGGGTGGAGGGCAAACGGTGAAGTCTGAAATGCCGTTTCGGTGGATTTTCGAGGCATGCATTTGCACGCGGTGGATCAGAAGACGGATTGAATTTCGAGGCGCAAGAGCCCATATGGATTTCACCTTGAGCCCTCCACCCTAAGAAAATGCTCAGACTACAGCCCTGGCTGCAGCAGCAGCAGCACAGCTGCGAGCCTTGGGGCACTCCACGTCGTGCCAGAGGCACGGCGGTGGAGTTTCACCATCCCTGCTCCATAGACGCGCTAACGGCAATGTAGGCTTCGGCATTGTAAGTGGGATGAGCTCGTGTCCAAACCAATTGGACATGGTGAGTCGCGCTTTCCTACAATTCGCTGCGTCGTTTTCGCTCGATACATTCGCAGATTTGAAATGTAGGAAAGTGTGGTTCGCGATTTCCTACAGTTTGTCATGCGCGAACTCGGCGTCACAAAATTCATATTCCCAACATCGCCGGTAACTAACATCGCCGTTAGCGCGGCCTTGGCTGCTGCTATCCTGGCCTCCCCGCCTCACTCCTTCGCCTCCTCGCGTCCTTCCAAAGATGTGATGGGATCGGAAGAGACCCTGGTGGCTCGGCCAGGGTCGATTCTTCGTGGCAGTGGTGTCTCGGGAGACGGTTTGACGGTCAAGATTCCCGTCCGCGACGAGGCTCGAGCCCATGGCCGCACTCGTGTTCGGTCAGTCGCTCTCCTTTCAGGTATACGCTGTCAGACGGGGCCTAAGTTCGAGCGATCGGGATCTCCATATGATGTTCATATTATGTGCTGGTTCGTCAAAGTCTTCGTTTACGGGGTCCTGAAGGGGTGTGACAGCGGCAGCATGAGAACGAATTGGGGGGGTCACGGGTACAGTTTGGCCCTGGAGGCTTCTTGGAGGAGGCGGCGGCATCATGAGGACGACCAGGACTTTTCAGAGGTACAGCTTGGCTCTGGAGGCTTCGTGGAGGAGGAGGAAGAGAAGGAGGAGGAGGACCGAGGAGGGAGAGGAGGAGGAAGAGAAGGAGGAGGAGGAGGAAGAGGAGGAGGAGAGGAGGAGGCCGCCTCGCAAACGGCAGGGCGCCGCGCGCGGCCCCGCCTCTAACGACTCGGCAAAGGGCAAGAGTCTTGCCGCAGGACTTCTGGTGGCCGCGGCGACGACCAAGCAGCGCCGCGCTGACACAGCATTGGCCACTTTCACTCACAAGCTGCGCGGCGCTGCACAGGGCGCCGCGAACAAGCGGGAAGTGAGCACGGCACCGAGGCGAGCACGACACTGTTGCCTGCGGAATGTGGGCCCGTCCCGCTCCGGCCACGCACGCTTGCAAGATGGGCGACAGACGGTCAGTGCTATGAGCGAACATGAAGACTTCGATTGTTTTCTGGGACAGGTAGGATGGGAGTTCCCGGATCGGGCGGCTCTCGGCAAGCCAGATGACAGAGTAGGATTGCATCTTAAGAAGGGGTAAGGAGAAAGACCGTGGAAATATTAGATATAGAGAGATATATGGATATTACATAATGAAACAGAGAGGATGGAGCAGAGCGCAGAGAGCAGAGAGTATGAAGCAACTCGTAGAGCGGCGAAGTGCAGTAGCGGACATTCCAAAGCACAGGATGGAGAGCAGAGGCGGGAGGGCTAGAGGTCACATGTCGAGAGGCGGACGGCACTGAGCGGTGAGTGGGAGGAAGAGCTTGGATAGCAATGAGTAGAAAGTGTGACGGGTAGAAGAGAAGGTGTAGAGAGCACAGATCACATTCGTCATTTTCTGCGCCCGTCCACCACCAGCGCGAGATGTTTCAGATGAAGGTACACTGCGCTTGGGCGATAGCCTCATTTTGAAAGTACCCTCGTTCCGCTGCATGTGCGCACATGTTGGGACTTGCGTGCTTCAGTTGTGCGAGCTATGTGGAGGGAACGCCCAGCCCGACCTACCGACACGTTTGATCTTGCGAGGAGGACGACTGTGGTAGAAGGAGGAGGAGAAAGAGGAAGAGGAGGAGGAGGAGGAGGAGGAGGGGGAGGGAGACGAAGAGAGGGAGGAGGATAATAGAAGATTGAGGGATGAGGGGGAGACGGGGAGCAAAAGGACAAGGTAAATAGGGAGAGCGGGGGAGCAACAGAACGAAGAGGAAAAGGGATGATGAGGGACGGCGGCAACCACGACCACGACCACCAGGACGACTCTACGACAACGGCCGCGACGACGACCATTGGGAACCCAAGAGGTACCTGTACCAATGCTCCTCGGACCCAGCCGTGGCGACGAGGGCCTCCCGGGATGCCCAAGATGGCCAGAGCGAGGGAAGGGCAGAGGCATCGGCACCTCCCGTTCCCAGACCCCCGACGTCACGATTTTTTCACAAGGTCGACTCCTAGAGGTCTGGAACCCTTCCCCGGGACCGGTTTTCATCCTGAGTCATCTTTTGACGGTCCAGAGGTCTAGGTAAGGACCCCCGGAGGCCGAAAATAGCGAAAGACCTCCAGTCGTGATTTTTTCGCAGCGCGAGGGGGTCTGGGTTTCGATTCGAGACCACCACCGGGAGGACGCTCGCGACGGTCTGCGGCCACGGCGACAGCGACGACCAGAGCGGCCAGAGGGGCCCGCGGGGCGGCGAGCGCGCGCGCGCGCGCCAGGCGGGCCTGCTCGCGGGCTGGGACGGCCGCCTGCCCGCGGCGGCGGGGCGCTGGAGGCCCATGTGCTTCAGTGGGGCGTGTCCCTCTACAGGAGTATGCTCAAGAACAGTGAAAGTACGATCTGGGGCCGATGTTTGGATATGTTTGATTACTTAAAAGAGAATGTTTTGCACTAGTGTTCATGTTTCGTCCAACATCTGCCTGCAGGTGGACGTGCCCGACCTAACCCCCGGTCGTCGGCTGTCGTCCTCGGCACGCCGCCTCGGGCCTGGCATCGCTCGGACGCGCGCGCTCTTCTTTCCCGGCGAGGACCATCGAGGAGCATCCCGGGCCATCTTGCAGACAAAGAGCACGCACGAGACCGAAGCGTGCACGGGCAATGGACGTCCGAGCGATGGCAAGCGGGGTTCCCCTCTCTTCCTGTGGACCGTCGAGCGCGAGTTCCTCATGCACATCACTCCGCACTTGTGCGCGAGGTGGTGGCGTAGTCCGTGGCGCGCTGCGCACACGGGCGTGGAACCTCACTGGAGGCTCGGCGTGTCCTTTCCCCCTGTGGGCGCCCCTCTCCCAGCGGTGTGCGGCATCTCGTCCAAGACACCCGTCCGCTGTGTTGGCCAGCGCACTTCGGCGACTCATCCTGCACGCGACAGCTGCTGGTGGGCACACTTGCGCCGAGGAAGAAAGGACCCCCTATCCGCATCCCCCTTCCCTCCCCCTTGGCCAGTACACTCAACCCGCTCAGTAAGGATGAGCAGCTCTCCAAGTCTGCCTTTACATCCTTTCCCTTCGACCCAATCCCTGGCCGCTTGCGCTGGCCGCGCCCCGCTCGCAAAGTGTCGGTGTGGCCTTCCAAGGCCCTTCCATCCTTACCGTGTGTCCTTTTGTACAGGTGTACTGTACTGCGACGTCACGTCCAAGGGTTGTGATACATGCCTATATATATAAACATATATTTATATATGTATATATATACAATCGTATAACAAAACAACGGCGACGGCCCCAAGCTGGCGTGGCACGCCCCTGGTGCTGATGGCACTGCCGATGCTGGTCCTGCTGATGGCAGCGGCGTGGAGCGGCAGGGTGCTGCGGCTGCCCGTCCAGGAGCCAGGAGGGGGAGTAGGAGGAGGGAGGAGAGGGGAGAGGAGGGGAAGGAGGGGGAAGGGGAAGGGGAAGGAGGAGGAGAGAGGGGAAGGATGGGAAGGAGGTGGGGAGGGAAGGAGGGAGGAGTGAGGAGGGGAAGGGGTGGAGAGACGGGGGAGGGGAGGGAGGTATGATGATGAGGGCGAGGGAGCAGAAGGAGGACGAGGAGGGAGGTGTGGGAGGGCCTTTTCGTCGACGATGCCCCCGAGCGCTGGGCGAAACATGTTTCGATGCGGCCGCCCTGAGCGGGTGCTGCACGACAGACCATCCCCGCCACCGTCATGATTCCCGCTGGCCGATCAACTGGGCCGCGCCCGAGGCCGTGCGAAACAGCGTGTGGGCGTTGGCCGAAGCCTCGATCGACTGATGTCACGTAGGGGATACCACGCAGAGGATGCCGCGGTCGGCGTTGTGGGGAGAAGCGCCGAGGCCAGCGAGGTCTGCGGCCTCTGGGTGGGCCCAGAGCCCGTAGAGAGCTGGCAGTGACTGTCCAGCACGGGCAGTCCTGTCTTTTTGTGGTTGGGGGTTGATCATCACGCAGCCACTTCCCTCGCCATCCATCCTCGTCACCCTGTTCTCCGTCTCCTCCTGTCCATGTGTGCTTCCCGGGGGGGCCCCAGCGGCCCTGGGAAGCACGTCGGGGGGGGGTCCTCCCGGGTCGGGCCCCGGCGGCTTGCCCTGCTCGAGAAATGCCGCAGTAAGTTGGGGTCGAGAGTTCGGCCGTGGCGTCTCACGAGGCTCAGTATCGTTTAACCGATCCTTATCCCCATTCCCATCCCCATCCCCATCCCCACCATCCCACCACCCCAGTTGGGGAAATGCCCCTCGAAGCCCGAAGGGACCCGCCCATATCCCCTATCTCGGGTGTAAATCGGCCAGTGGGGCCCAGACCACACCAGTGGGGATAGGGATCGGTGAAACGATGCTCTGATGCCGTGTTTTTGTCGTGGCGTCGGCGCAGCTTCGTCGCCGTCGACAGCCTCCCTGCCCTCTCGTTCTCCTGGCCTCGTGTGGGGCCCTGGCCGTCTCCGCGGGACTTGGCTCCGAGGCTCCGCCGGGAGGCTCTCCGTCGGCTTGCTCCCTGGCCCCTGGCTCGGAGGAATCGAGGCGTACACCCATCAGGCATCTGAAGAAAATGTGTGAACTTTCGTGGACTCCGGACCTCGCTAAAGAAGATGAGTCTGGACTGGGCCCTGGGCGTTTTCCTGGAGCTGTGTTCGTCGCAGAACTGTCGTATCTTCGGGCCCGGACTGCTGTTTCTGAGAATACCCCGAGTGAAGGCCGTTCTCTCGGCGTGAAATGTTAAATTCTTGACTCCAAGCCGGGGTGCACGTCGACACCATCGGCTTCCGCAGCTTCGGCTCCGAGGGGCTCGAGCCTCCACAGCAGCCCCGGCCGAGGCGGCGGGCGGAGCGCGCGAGCGGGTGGCTCGCCGCCTGCTTACGCGCGACGTCGAGACGCCATGCGGCAGCCGCTCGGGCGCTGAGGCTCCTCGCGCCCAGGGGTCGCGCGCATGGCCGAGGCCCCCCACGAGGACGACCAGCCGCCGCCCAAAGACGTGTGCGTGCAGTACAACGGGGAGGACCGAAGAAGAACAACCGCCATGAACATAAACTGTTGTCGCTCCGCGCGGATTTCTCGGATCGGCGCCTCCCCCGCCTTCCCATTCTCTATCCTCCCCCGAAGAAGAAGAATAATAAGAAGAAACGCTATAAACATAAACTTTACGCGCTCCGCGCGGATTTCTCGGATCGGCGCCTGGGCCTCACCGGCGGCGCCTCCGGCGCCGCCCCTGGCGCGCGACGGGGAGGGGGGTCGGCGCGGATCCGAGAAATCTGCGCGTACCTCCAAAAGTTTATGTCTTTATTTTCTGGCTTCCTCTAGAGGAGTATGACTGGCCAGCCCTGTCGGGCTCCCAGGACATCGCGGTCTTCCAAGAGAACATTCTGCATTATTTCCGCGTGCCCATTGAGCGGCAGGCCATCTACTCCCATGAGGGGCCCGTCCTCACTTCGGACGACGTGGCGCGGGAGCTCCTGCGCGACACCCCTCGCTTCAGCGTCTACGATCGCGGCGGGTCCTCCCGCAGGAACCTGCTTTGAAGAAGAAGAAGAAGAGGAATTGTACGAAGAAGAAGAAGAAAGAGAACAACAACCACATAAGCGTAAACTTTTGGCGCTCCGCGCTGACTTCTTGGATCCGCGCTGGCCCCCCCCCCCCTCCCAGCGGCGCCTCCGGCGCCGCCCCTGGCCTGCCCCGCACGTCTGGGAGGGGGGCCACAGCGCAAATCCGAGAAATCCGCGCGGACCGTCGAAAGTTTCTATTTACGCATTTTTTCTTCCTCCTCTCAGGAACCTGCTGTCGGAGCTCGTGACCACGGGGGACGTCGGCGTCGCTCCAACATACTGATACTATGTCTGCGTCGCCCCCACAGAAGCGACGTGCGCACTGAGAAATCTTGTGATATGTGCGTCGTGGCGGGCGCTTTCTTGCCACACCGCTCGAGAAACTTTATACTACAAGATGGGTATACCATATTTCACCAGAGAAAACCCCAATCAGTGGATGGTTTGATTGATAAGAAGATCGACCTGGAACCTGGCAACGCGGAACCCGCCGAAATCGGCCCGGAACCAATAACCAGGAACCCAGGAACCCGGAGCCGGGAACCCGGGAACCCAGCCGGCCACCAAAGTCGGCGGGATATTGTCGCCAAATCTTTCATTATCCGCTAGGACCCCATCAATGCCAGCTCTGATTGGGGAACAAGATGGGTATACAGTCGGCCCGGATTAGTAGGTCGACCCTGCCAATTCAAGGGTACCCTTGTGTCCTGTGTCTCGCGACCCATGCTTCTTACATTCCTGTGGCACTGTGACCCTCGGAAGGGTCTTGTGTCCTCTCGCGTGTCCTGTCCAATCGAGTCCGACTGTACCATATGTTCGGGTCGGGCGCGCGCCTCCAAGGGGGACAGATAGTACCAGTATATGCCTCTGTGCGTCCCCCTAGGCCTCCTAGATGGGGTCGGAGTAGATGAGGTCGGAGGATCGCGCCGCATCGCCGATGCATCGACCGTGCATCGGCGATGCGGCTCGATGTGGGGCCCAATTTTCTCCGCGCCGACGTCGTGGATGTACCGCCGACGTCGCCAGTGCATGACCGATGCATGGCCGATGCATCGCCGACGCATCGGCGATGTACCGGCGATGCGGCGCGATCCTCCGACCCCACCTACTCGGACCCCATCTGGGAGGCCTCATAGTCCCAGGACGGCTGGTTCGACCCGCCCGCACTCGCGACAGGCGGCACGGCCCCGCCGGGCTTCCCCGATGCGGCGGGCGCGGGCGCGGGGCAGCACGCCGGCGAGGTGGAAGACCTGGGCACGCCGAGGCCGCGCCACGGCACCAGCCCGGGGAGGAGGGTTTCTCCGAAGGGCTATAGGCGACCCTCCTCCTCCCCCTCCCCCTCCTCCTCCTCCTCCTCCTCCTCCTCCTCCTCCTCCTCCTCCATCTCCTCCTCCTCCTCCATCTCCTCCTCCTCCTCCATCTCCTCCTCCTCCTCCTCCTCCTCCTCCTCCTCGTACTCCTCCTCGTACTCCTATATTCCTTTTTCGAATATACTCTTACTCACCCCTCTGGCCGGCCGATAGCGGCCCCATCGGGGCCCTCCCATCCGAACTGGAAAATCAATACAAAGTCTTCTTTTTTCTTTCAATTTGGCTTTTCTTGTCGCCGACGATGCGAGATGCGTAGCAGGAATAAAGAAACGCGGCGCACATCGCGCGCTGCCGTCAATCCAGGCCCTCCCATCGTGATTGTGATTACTCTCTGCGTGGAGATCCCCATCTGTGCATCCTTTGTAAAATCAATAAGTTTGTATGTGGGATAGTTTAATGAGCGTCTAGCCATATGAGCCATATGTGCATCTCATCGTGTAGGATCGTGTTTGGGTGAATATATATATATATATATATATATATATATATATATATATATGTCTATGATAGTTGTGTTATCAGAGCGCGTCTACGTGAGCGACGAGCACACGCGCGCGCAGCTCGGCTGCACATCCAACACCTTTATATGCTCATCTGCAAGCATCTGTCAGCGCATCTGCTTTGTCAAAGCAAAGAATTCATTGGCACTGCGTCGCAAGCACCGTGGCAGAGGTCGTTCGCTTGTGCCGTCCACACCAAGATGGGGCGAACTAGTAGAAGAACCCAGTCAGGAATTCACGCGGAGTGCCGTCCGCATTTGGCATCGGGCCATGTTTGGGCGAGCGCCTCAGAGAAACGTAGGATGATGGGGCAAAGTGAATACGTTCGCGCATTGGCCGTCCGCACTTGGAATCGGACCAGGCTTGGCTGAGCGCGAAGGCAGGGAAATAGCTGAGCGCGGAGACAGAGGAAAAACAAGCAAACATCCGTCTGCACTGGGCATCGGGCTTTGCAGTGCCAGGCAAGCGGCGCAAGTCTCTGGGCAACAACAATGCCGTCCGCACTGGGCATCGGGCCAGAAAGAATACGGGCCGTCACTCTTCCTCTGGCAGCGTTATGCCGTACCCCCAGCAAGTAGGGCGGCTCTCGCCACCGTCGAGTCCCCAGACGCCGCGAAGCGTCGAAGAGCGCGTTTCAATGACATTGGTGGACCTCCTTCCGAAAGCCAGCGAGCCCGGCCACAAGAAGGAGAGTGAACCTTTTCAAGTTCCCTCTCCCCCCTCTGGAGAGTGAACCCTTTCAAGTTCCTTCTCCAGTTCGATCGCATGTGAGCTAGTGAGCCGTTGCAAGTTCCTTTTCCCGCGACTGAAGGGTGAACCTTTGCAAGCTCCCCCTTTCAGTCCGACCACGCGGGGGAGAGTGAACCTTTTCAAGTTTCCTGTCCCTGCCTGGAGAGTGAACCTTCTCAAGTTCCCTTCCCAGTTCGACCACAAGCGGGAAAGTGAACCTTTTCAAGTTCCTTCCCCCGCAGCTAGAGAGTGAACCTTTTCAAGTTCCCTTCCCAAAACGCACGCGGGAGAATGAACCCTCTCAAGTTCCCTCTCCCGCTGACGGCGGCAAGATTGGAACGCACCACGGATAGAGAAAGCAGCATCCTACGGTGACACAAGCTCTGCGCCAGCAACACCTGGTCACTCCTCCTTGACCGCCGTACGCAACGGGGAGAGCCACTCAGGACACAACGCAACGGCAGAACACTGGCAAACCGCTAGAGACATCCCCACAGAACGGCGACGAACGGAGCCGTGAAAGTACCCTTGGCGGCTCCCCTTAGGTAGCTGAAACCAGCGCCCCGCCTGACACATCCTCCAAGCAAAGGATGTTGAGACAGAAAACAGGCAAACAACTTGAGACATCCCCACAAAACGGCCGCGAACGCGACCGTGTCATACCCCTCGGCGGCTCCCCTTAGGGGTGCTGAAACCAGCGCCCCGCCTGAGACATCCTCACAATCTGCTGTCCAAGCGAAGGATGGTGGGACAGAAACGAGGCAAACCGCTCGAGACATCCCCACAAAACGGCCGCGAACGGGACCGTGTCATACCCCTTTGGCGGCTCCCTTTAGGGTTGCTGAAACCAGCGCCCCGCCTGAAACATCCTGACAATCTGCAGTGTGTTGAGTAAGTCAGACAATGAGATCGCCTGAGTATGAGTAAGGTTGGGTATCAGTGAGTCTCAGCATGATTAAGTCAGAGTATGAGTAGGTAAGAGTATGAGTAGGTCTGGGTATGAGTAAGCTAATATGAGCAGTTCTGGGTATGAGCAAGTCTGAGTATGAATAACTCTGTGTATGAGTAAGTCTAGGTATGAGGAGGAGGAGGCTGAGGAGGAGGAGGAGGAGGAGGAAAAGAAGAAGAGAAATGATACGTAGGAAGCGTCCGAGTAATAACAAGAACCCCATCTTTGGATATAGAGCGTGTTATACCGCTGCTGGCGGAAAACCGGGGGGGGTCACTACCGGTTCGAACCCCTCCCCCCCCCCCCCCCTCCGGAAAACCGGGGGGGGTCACTACCGGTTCGAACCCCTCCCCCCCCCCCCAGCTCATCATGAAAAGGGGGGGGGTCACTACCGGTTCGAACCCCCCCCCCCCTCGAAAACCGAGTGGGGGTGCGGACAGTGGTGGGGACGGTGTTGGTGGGGACAGTGGTGAGGGGACAGCGGGACAGTGGTGGGGACAGCGGGGGGACAGTGGGACAGTGGTGGGGACGGTAGTGGTGGGGACAGTGGTGGGGACAATGGTGGGAACAGGGGGGACAGTGGACAGTGGTGGGAACGGTGGTGGTGGGGACAGTGGTGTGGGGACAGTGGGAATGAGGTGGAAACACTGGGACAGTGGAGGGTACAATGGTGGTGGGGACACTGGTAAAGGCGTCGGCGAGGACGGCGGTGGGACAATGGGACAGAGGTACAGTGGGGACAGTGGTGGGGACAGTGGGGACAGTGGTGGGAACAGTGGGACAGCTCAGTGGGACAGCGGAGGAGTCAGTGGGACAGTGGGGACAGTGGGGATAGGCAGTGGTTGGGTCCGTGGAGACAGTGGGGAGAGTGGAACCGTGGTGGGAACAGTTGTGGGAACAGTGGGGACAGTGCGACAGTGGTGGGGGCACTGGTGGGGACATAGGGACGGTGGTGGAACCAGCCGGGGCAGTGGTGGTGAGGACAGTGGTGCTGGGAACAACAGTGGGGGATGTCATGCGAGCGGTGGTAGGGACCGGGAGTCGTTTGCTGGCGGTGCGTGGGGGGGGGGTCGAACCGGTAGTGACCCCCCTCCGGTTTTCGAGGG